AGGGAGCATTGTTACGTCACTTTTTGCAATTTGCTTGGCCCATGTCATGAAGTAAACAAGGAAGTCGATGCTTGGGGCAATGAGCATATATACAATGAGTGGAAACTTGCAAAGATTTGCTCATTTTGGTATTGTTCCCTGCATTTTTTACGTCGTCCGGCTAAATGGTTCGTTGCATATTAAGAAAACGCATTGCTCGCTGCCAAAATCCCTTGCTTCAGCCGAGTCGGGTGCGAAATTGGCCGTATTGAGGTCTTTAATTCTTCAATACATATTTGGTTTTGGGTTTCGAAGTATGGTATGCTGAAAGCATACAACTATGAGCATATGCTTATTGGGAATGCATATCTATTAGACAGAAAACGTAGCTACAGTACAGAATATGAACCAGTCGCCCAGTGGAGTGCGGTTATTTATGTATTTATTAGGATAAGGATAAGGATTTACATATTTATCCCGGGGGAAAGGAAAGCCGATAAGACGGCTCATCCATATGGCGAACCACGGTCTCTCGTCCGGTTACCATTCCAAGTCGGGTATGGGATTAGTAATATTGTTTGTTTTCGGAGCATGGACTTGAAGCATGGAATATGTAGAAAAATATAGAGAATTATAGAATAAACAACCCATTTGAGAGGGAATTGAAAAATTTATGTGAAGCGTTATTTCAAAAAGAAAATTATATGTTTATGATATGTATTTTATATTTACTAATTTCATTTTTATTGTTTTATATCAATTCGTTTATTAAAATAACCTAATTATGGTATGGATTACTACTGGAATTGAACAAAATAAATACTGAATCATGGATGCAAAATGGAATATGAACTTATTTATATTATATTATTTTATATTAACCGTAATTAAAATCACTCATTGAGTGAACGAATGAGCATACTGTAATGCTTATTGGGAATACATACCATCTATTGGGCAGAAAACTTAACTACAGAACAGAATATGAACCAGCCAAGTGGTGACCTGGGATATTGTATTCATTGATATAGATAGAGATAGTGAGTTCTGGAGAGCGAGCAAAACCTTTAAAAAAGTATAAAACACGATGACTATCATGTGCCCGCCGTGTTATAGCAAGTAGTAATGTGTAATGAATTTAATTCACTGTGGTAAATGAATTGCTATCTTTTTATTTGTTATGAGCACACTTGCTGGAACTCCATAATCTATTATTTTATTTGTTAGTAACACTTTTTATAAAAATATCAAATTGTTTATCATACTTGCATCCATATTTCGCCCTAAATTCAATGACACTTTCTCTGTATCCAAATATCTATGTACATGACCACATTATTTATTTTTTAGTAATACTTCATTTAAAAGTATCTTAATGTTTATTATACTTGCTATTCTGGTATTTAATCAGTTTTTTGCCTTAAATTTTATTCTATGATACCTGCTCTGTATCCAAATATCTATATGTATATGAGCACTTTATTTATTTTTTAGTACCGGTAATACTTATTTAAAAATAACCTATTGTTTATCATTGCTATTTCAGTATATTATCAATATTTCGCCTTAAAATTCATTCTATGATACGTGCTCTGTAGCCGAATATAGATATGTACATGAGCACTTTATTTCATATATATATATATCTGCTAGAGAAGGGTCAAATCCTGATCATGTATTAATGTGTGTCACTATCCTCCAAATCACTTGCCAGTCATAATCAAGTATTATAATTTGATGTGTTCAAATTATAGTGTATAAAGAAATCTACTCATGATTTCATTACTATTATCAAATGTTTATAATTGAAGTGCTATAATAATAGAATTTTCCTCATCTTTGCCCATGTCCTATCACATTCATTTTTAGTAGACAAATTTTCCAAATAATAGGTATCCTCGCTAACCCATTTTTATGCAGTTGATATGCAATACATGTCAACTTATCAGCTGAATAAATGATGATCTTAGGACAAAACATGATTATTTAGTCAAAAATTCTTGTGAATAATGTATATAGTGAATACGGTATATGAGAGCTATTGAAGAATTTAACACCGAACCTGTTAAATGACCCCAAATGTTGTAACGTTGTCTCCCAGTCAAACACCTGAGCATCTGTTTTTTTTATTATAATTTATATATGTTCATGGTTTGACGAACGAAATAAACCCTCTCTCTCTATTAGTTTAAAATACTGTAAATATTTGCATATCAAAACTTGTCATTTATTTCGTTCCATCCATGTATTTTCAACTGTTTTTCCAATAAAACGTACTTATGCCTTACTGTTACTACTGTTATTTGTAGCTTATTATTGTTAGCTAACTATTTTGAGGTGGGGCGCAAGACTTCACAAATTCTAAAAAGGGGGTGCAGCTTGAAAAGTTTGTATGTAGTAGACCCTAACCTGGTACACATGGTTCCGGTGTCTACCAACTGGGTTTACATACTTCAATTTGTATTACAGTTGTAAAACAGAAAAAAGCTGAATGTCGGTCTTATTCCATCTGTAAATTTACCAAAAACTCCCCAAAGAATGAACAATGTGCCAGACCATGTGTATTATCGATGAAATGAAAAGTGACATATAAAAAATACAGAATTTCAAAAAAATTAGTTCACATATTAAATATTTTACATTACAAAAAAAATGGTGCTCCAGAAGTATGTGTACCAATATGAAGGTAACTAATTTTGTTCGCCTATTTTATATCAAGTTGTGTAAATGGACTAAATTCTATCGGTAGGGGGATGGATATTCACTTGTGTAACACAGACAATTTCCGAACTTTTAATAGAACAAAAATAAGGAGAATCGTAACCTAACCTGGTACACATACTACAAGAGTACCGAAAAAACAGCCCACATAGTAAAAGCAGTTATGGAAATACTTTACATTACAGAAAAATTAATTCACATAGTAAATAGCAGACGCAGGATGTATTTTGTATTGCAGAAAAAATAGCTCACATAGTTAATAGCAGTCCTGAAATATTTCTCACTATTGATAACAAAAGTATAATTGCATCCAAACCAACAGTATCTATATGACTATATAAAGGATCGTTAAAAGTAAATGATATGCAAGAATCATATTGATAACAAAATGTATTCTAATCAATTTTAATATATCTAAAACAAAATCTTCATAAATATTTTTTGTAATTTACAATACATGAAAATATGTGAAACAAACTCAGGTTCTCCATTACATAATACACACATTTCATTCCCTGATTTTCTTCCAATTTCTGGCTTTTGTTTTCAAAGGCAAGATACCAGGTATCCCAGAGTAATTTATAGTTAAACTCAGTATTTTTAATAGGTAAACGAATAGCTCGCAGAGCCATGTGATTCATATGGAGGACAGAGCTATGATTGTGAGAGGCCGTGGTTCGCCATGTATTTAAGCATTATACTCGTTTTTCCTCTCCCATTGATAAATATGTAAATCCCATGTTATATTAATGAATGAATACATAAATAACCGCACCCCTCTCGGCGACTGGTTCATATTCTGTTCTGTAGATACGTTTTCTGCCTAATAGATATGCATTCACAATAAGCATATGCTCATAGTTGTATGCTTTCAGCGTACCATACTTCGAAACCCTTCCTCTCCCATGGATAAATATGTAAATCCCATGTTATATCAATGAATAAATACATAAATAACCACACCCCTCTCGGCGACTGGTTCATATTCTGTTCTGTAGATACGTTTTCTGCCTAATAGATATGCATTCCCAATAAGCATATGCTCATAGTTGTATGCTTTCAGCGTACCATACTTCGAAACCCAAAACCAAATATGTGTTGAAGAATTACAGACCTCAATACGGCCAATTTCGCACCCGACTCGGCTGAAGCAAGGGATTTTGGCAGCGAGCAATGCGTTTTCTTAATATGCAACGAACCATTTAGCTGGACGACGTAAGAATGCAGGGAACAATACCAAAATGAGCAAATCTTTGCCAGTTTCCACTCATTGTATATATGCTCATTGCTTGGGGAAAGGTCCATCGGTCCAGAAATTAAAGAGAAAAGCAACTTTTCAGAATTGGGTAACAAGTGGGCGTGGCTTTTCACACGTTTTCTCACCACTGAGGGGACGAAGACATTGCTTCCACCCCCAATGTCACTTGAAAAAATTCCCATTACCCGGGCAAACGCTTCCCCACGCCGAGAACGGAGATTAACGGCCTTCTAAATGCCAAAATCACTCTAGCGTGACTATATCGATGACTTGATTGACAGGTAGCCTACTCCGGGCCACTAAAAGCCTGTTTTGTCCCACTTCCAATTTCAACCAGAATTGAAATACCAAGTGATCCAAGTCACTTATCCATTACGGTACCAGGGCAAAATAAAAAATATTCCCCGATAATCATATGCGGTACCGTAACTTACCAGAACCTGAAATTTGTTCGCAGAACGGTGCTTTCTTGTCATATAAGAACTCAATTCATTTCCTCTTATCAAATAAAAAAAATAAAGGTAGGCTACAAAATTTATGTTGTTTACATCAAAACTGTAACGAAAAGATGAGAGAGTAAATCACTGCGGTACCGTACCTCAATTCAATTTGCTCTTATCAAAATTAACAAATACGGTAGGCTAAATTTGCTAGAAAACCTTCATCACTGCAATAGTAAGATCGCGAATAAGTCAATTTCACGCGTATCTGCCAGACGCTTCTTTTCTGCAAAACCAACTAATTCGATTCATCACGGTATTATAACAGAAAATACCACAGTCTACAAATATATTCACACCAAGCGAAGCAATGCAGTACGGTTTACCGTACCTTTAGCTTCACCGGTAACCTCAAAAAACTTACAATTTTTGAGAAACGATTTCCAGGATCCTCCATCACGCCGACATTAGATAGCACGTGATCATGCGTCCGTTATGTCCACTACGTGTCCAACAACATAATAAAAAAACGATCGTTATGCCCACTAACGTGTCCAATAACGTGTCCAATATTTTTGTAGGGTCAAAGTTCGGTATTTTTCGCTATGACATTCGGATACATATTTCGTGTGGCAATTTGCCGCGATAACAGGGTTTTCCAGTTTAACTGTCTTTCTATATGTAAGCTTGAAAATACTGAAATATGGCAACTCCAGATGGCAGACGAGTGAACAGACCTTATAGAAAAGCATCAGTGAGTAAAACATTCAGATAATTGAATGAATAGAATGATAATAAGATCTCTCTCAGAGATAATAATGAATTTACAGCATTCAAGTATTCAAAATCATTTGTTGTCTGTTTACCTACTTTTTGTGTTGTTCTGTTTTACGTCAGAGTGCCGAAATAAAAGGATTGATTAATTTGGTGACGCCATGATACTGTGATATATATAGAACTGTAGAATGGGTAATTCACAGTAAGACCAACACATAAACTCTGGAACTTTGCTAAAACTATAAATGACGTTTAAAAAATTTGGGTATTGGAATTTTACATGGCGGAAAAAGTCTGGCCTCTTTCATACAGTACTGCAGTACGACACAGTTCACTAATTCCATAAATAGCCCCTTCATTAAAAGACATCAATTATAACAGTGAATGCAAACCCAGTCTGGATTTCATGGCCTTTTTGAACGAGAAATCGGGCGTGCAATCAGAAATTCCCGCATGCAAATTCGAATTTCTGGCATGCAATTATAGCTCACGGCGTGCAAAACAACTGTGCCCGCGTGAAACTGACTTCGACCTAAGATACCTTTCAATACATCCGCGTAAAATTACCGGTATTGGATACAAAATATGTTGAATCATAGCAAAAATGGACGTTTGACCTTTGACCCCAAACATCATTTCTATATTATTGTCACTAATTTTGAGAGTGATTGTGCGACTTTAGATACCGGTACTGTTCAGTACATCCGTGTAAGATTATTGTATAAAAAATACCATGAATCAAAGCCATAACTGGCCAGCGTCGGTGAGTAGGCGATCTTTCTCATTCAACACGATATGGTTTTTTGCTTCGCATTTTTCGATCATGCCAAATCTTGCCAGCTAGTATTAGTCGACAATTGTGGAGTTATAATTTTTTGGCATCTTTATATTACTAGATTATTGATTTAAAAACTATTTAAACCGATTTACATTGGTGAGCGATTGCAAATTTTCGGCGTGCAAAATTGAATTCGCTCGCGTGCATTTTTGTGGAGCGCTAGCGCCCTCGGGCGTGCATCTGCCATGGAATCCAGTCTGGCAAGCCAGTACTGCGCAATCTAAAATCTTCGTGTAGCAAGTTTAATAATAGTGGAAACCCTAGTAGGTATTTGATTACATTTAAACAATATAATGTAGACTTTTGAATTTGAATGTAAACTCAAGGAACCCAGATTGAAAACCGCTAATCTAAGGTCTTCAAAAACTCTTATTTCTTGGTATTTGAAAGAGCCAATCTTTATTATATTCCTCTATTACAGGAATATCTAGCAACCAAGCAATCACCGTATAATGGGCCCAAGACAATCGTGTGAGTATGATTGCGTTTGTGCTGATGTGGACTGAATTCTTATTAGCTTCGTGGCTTGCTGATGTTGTCAACTAAATTCCAAATGTCCAGTCCAGTGGTTCTCAAACTATCCTGATTAGTGCCCCCCTTCCAGAAATTTTCAAGGCCATTCAGCTCCTGCTGTTTTATAGAAATCACACAGTTTTTGTTCAAGTATAAAACGTAAGAAAAGCAAGTAAAGAATATTACAATCAAGACATTTAACTAATTTACCTAGTGAAGGCTTTCGTAGGTTTGTAGCCTCCCTGGCAGGCAGAGCGTTTGAAAATCCTAGTTCAGTTAATTTGATTTCAATGTAACCGAGCGGAAAATAGCAATCATCATTTTACCGAATTTCAAATAAATTTCTTTCAAATCAAATTTTGAAATAGAATGTTCAATGTGAATATGAATCAAATTTTGTTTATGTGACATGTATCGAATCATTTTAAATTACTTGTTTATAAGACTCAGTTTTGAACAATTTATCTTTTCTTCTTCAGAGCTCTGGAAGCAGAAAACTTGGAACTTCGTGAAAAATTAACAACCTCTGTCCGAAGACTGGAAACGATGGAAGTGGAATTCGAACAAAGTCGCGAATATTTTGCGACTCAACTTGATGTGGTTCAGGATAAACTGAACAGAACAACACAAGCCTTGAAATTGTGAGATTTTGTCTTTGTGTATATTGTTATATTTTTAGGGAGGTACAGAGGGAATTGTGATAAAAGAATAAAATGTTATAATTTTTTCTGGTTACCACATATAGTAACACAGACCTCAAAATTTTAACTTTTTGTCTTTGTGTAGGATATTTCTATTTTTTCTAGATATAGTAAAAAAAGCCTATATCTCTGCATAGAGTATTTTTATTTTTTCAGAGGGGGTATGGTAACAGCCAGGGTGGGGTGAATGGAGTCACAGAGCCCGATAGAGCTCAAGCCCACCTCACTATAATGAAGCTGGATCCAAAGATACATGAAATTTTAATTCGACCCCGGGCCATCTAGTGTTCCCTTCAAATTATTATTATCTCTGTTTTAAATTTGAAATTATTTTTAAAACTGAGACAAACAAGCATGTTATGACTAAAGGGTACCGCGATTTCAAAAAAAGTGTTCCCCTCACATTAAATTAAAACAGCAAAATTTGGGATGAAATAAGGGTTCCCCCAATGGGGCTACAGAGCAGTTGGAGAGAAGCCACGTTGACAGGCTCATTTGTACGAGAAATACCACTGGGATGGTGAGCAGGGGGTCCATGAGTGCTAAAACCCTTTGGTAGAGGGCCATGAGCCATAAACGGTTGGCAACCACTGGCTTAGTTCATAGATAATAAAAAATAAATGTTTGCCCAACGACAAGAATTCAGCAAAATGAGTGAAAAGGGTTTATTTGTACTTGCTTTTTTTTCAGAATGCAGCAGAGTTACTCTGAACTCCAGTCCATCAACTATGAATTGGAACAAAGAGTTCTGAAGGTGAGATATTCTGTCGAATATAAATCTCTGAAACTTGGCAAATCATAGAAAACTTGATGAACTTCTCTCCTGCTCTGAAACAGCTTGACAGTGTGGCACATCCTGCTGAGCATTAGGAAAACGCTCATCTTCCCACCGCTGATTACCATACATGGGTTTGCAAGTTTGTGGGGGGTAATTAAGTATAACTTGACTCCTCCCCATTGTAGGGTGGTTCACGTAACCACTGGTCGGTTACGACTTCCTCCACGTTCAAGTCCATGCATCTGAAACAAGTGACTGGCTGACTTATCCAATGCCTGACATGGACTGGTAACTGATAAATCGGCATGGTACACCATGTGATTAAGACATCCCTTACCATAAATTTAAAAATATCCTCTCAGGATTAGACCGTTTTAGTGGCTTTTCTCACTCCGCCGAGAAAAATATTAACATCCCACCCTACGATTGAGCAATCTTGTGAACTTTAAAATTTATTTTTCTTTGCAAGCTGACAATGCATCCGCAGATGATGTCATATGCTGAAAAGGTATCTTGTCGTGTTAAGTTATGGAATCAGGATTTAGATCAGCGGTTCTCAAACTTTTTTAAGCCACACCCCCTTTTTAAAATTTGTCAAGTTACCACGCCCCCCAAAAGTTATCTGAGCCCTCTTGTGGTGCGTATTCCACTGTTTGAGAACCACTGATTTAGATTGATGTATTTTTATGTGTGTTCCACTCTGAACAAGCCTTTGTATATCTGATCAACGTTACCTGGGAAGACAGAGTCTGTATAAGTAATGCCTCAACAATACTCGTTGATTGAAGACATTTGAAGTATGTTTATACGCTTTTCACTTCAAAAATGGTTGTGTAGAATCAACCACTGTTAAACTTGGATCTACTATATTTTGAAAACCAGAATTATTTTGGTCTCACATTGCCAACCTAATTTATTAACTAAGGTTTCTATTGGCAAAGTGTTTGCAAAATGCTTTGTACCTCTGAATAGCCTGCACAGGTTCGAAGTCAGTGATATCTACAAAAGTATCCCCCTCCTGTTCCCACCACAGGGTGATTCACATAACCCCTGGTCGGTGACGGCTTCCAACACCAATTCAAGGCATCTGAAACAAATTACTGTTTACCAATTTTCATACCAGACATGGACTGGTATTCTTACGTTACGTCGTGTGCATATGCCTACTTATTTGTGTACCTCCATCATGCGATGAAATTTGAATGGAGCCCTATTATTTTAGGTGGTCACTCATGGCTTTGCTCAAGGATGAGTCTTTTTTACTTTTGATTGACTGTTATTCAGAATATATGGTGGAAAGGAAATTCATTAGATGGTTTATTCATATACCAGGACTACTCGTCCGGTTACCAGTTGGTGTCAGTAATGGAATTAGTTGCCAGATATTTGTTTCAGATGCATGAACTTGATTCTTGTAGAAATACTGCCCTCTTTGAAATAAGGGTCGACTGATGGATTTACGATGAAGTAGTGGAAATTTGGAGAAAATAGATCGCAATCAGGCAATAGATAAATCACTTAGTAAATATCAGGCCACTAAATCATTTAATATTTCACAGGTCAATCATCTTGAAGATGAAAAGTCACAACTGACGACAGACGTTCATGAATTGACGAACAGATTAACAGAAACTCGGAGTGCTTTGCAGAGAACTCAGAAAGAAAATGTATGTGGGGGCATCTATGTAGGATGGGGAATTCCCTTATGGGCGGGATAAATCATAGTTATATTGTGAAAGTCTTTTTTTAGTTTATCAAATATATACAGTGTCCATAAAGTCTTGAAAATTTTTCAAATTGCAACAGGAATTTAACAATATCATATAGTGTTTCGGACCTCACAGATGTATTAAATGAAGTAAAAATACTCAAACAATCACTGATTAGAAAACAACAAACCTGGTCAAGATATACAGAGAAGACTTCAATAACTGACTTCATAACAAAATTAAAGTTGTAAAAAGACTTTATGGACAGGACACTCTGTATGGTTAGCAATTCCAATCCATTCACTTTGAAGTTTAACACATTCCTTAAAAATAAGGAATTTCTGATGAAAAATGACCAAATATTTTTTCTCTTATAAATCTTCACAGGAGCGTCTTCGCAAAGATTGCAATCTTGCCGTTTCATTGCTGGAATGTAACGCTGGGAATTTCAAACAACAAAAAGCTGAGCAGGTAACTTGCTTTTGAATTTCGATGCAAACAGGCAAAGACTGATATAATTATTTTTTTTTATCGTGACAACACATTTATGTTCTAATCATTTCAATATTTCATTGCCTGAGTTTTTTTTTACTGATCCGCTGCGTAAATAAATTTCAGGCAGACCTCAAGACGGGTAGGTTGTTTGTTCATCTTAGTCCACCAATACGCTGAAATCCATATTTTCATGCAAATGAGGGTTTTATAGAATTTAGGTTGAAAATCATATTCGCTTGCCTGTATATTTTATTGAATATAAGTCAGGACAATTCAGTTTGAACTTCACTGTGACAACATATCTGGGAACTTACCAGAACTTTGAACGTGGTTTAACTTATTGACATAAAAATGATCAATCTCACCTTGTGACATAGAATATAACGGAATAAACATGATTGCACCCTTGCATGAATGATTATTTTCACTCACTCTGATCGTTTCAGCTTCCAAGAGAACTTCAAAATCATGTGGAAGAATATCAGATGGATCTTACTCAGTATAATGAATATATTAACCCATATGCTGACGATAGTGACAGTGAGACTGAAAATGAACAGAGATACTACCATGCCCAGGTATGAGTGGGTTAATAATGAATTTTTTATTATACAAAGCTGATCTAGAAAGCTCCAGCTCACAACTCTGAGAAAACTGAATTTTGGTACCGAGAACCATCGAGTATGCAAACCTTTGAGTGTCTAATGATAATGTCGAATTAATGCTTTTCGAATTTTATCATTCAATTTGTTAACACGTTAGAAGTCTATAATTTTGATTTGAAAGTTCCGACTCTTTTTCCCGACTCTGCTAGTTGGGAGAATGCAGACCACTATCGATATAAAACATGCTGAACCACCAAGGCTTCCGCTCCGTAGATCACTAAACCACAAGTAATAGCGCAAATAACAGAGACGGTTTGTAGCAGACTTGTATAAACTGGCTCCATGGAATGGGACATCACATGTTATAAGTATGGGTTTATTTCGACTCCATAATCAACAAAAGAGGCACTAAAATGATAAAAACAAATGAATAAAAACTGATCATGAAATCAAGAGAGCAAACGAAACCTTTGGGCAAGGTTTAAAACATACAGAATTTAAGATGGAAGGTATTGCCTAGACAAAGTGGTAGAAACACACTTTCCATTACACCTGCAAGCTCTAATTCCGTGGGGATGATAATGTGGGATAGGATTGCTGGACTCCTCACTGTTGTATTGTGGTTACGTCTACCTCCACCATCGAGTTCCTGCATCTGGAAACAAATTACTGACTAAATAATCCCCATCCGACATATGCTGGTAACCGGACGAGAGGTCGTGGTTCGCCATATGGTTAAGCCGTCTTATCGGCTCTTCTCTATCCTGAGATAAATATGATAAAACTATTGAGCCATCCTCTTGGCTTTACTCTATTTAAAAAATAGGTATGAAAACCTGTCCTATGATTAAGTCTTAACAGTTTTCCTCTGTCCTGGGATAAATATGCAAATCCCATTATTAATTTATATCAAATATTCTTTGCCTGGGATAAATGAATAAATTCCTAAATAAATTCTTTCCCTATTTCAGCCTTCGACAGTACCGACCGAACTTCTTGCAAATGTTTTGAAAAAGCCGGAGAATGTTCATCTGAATTTACAAGATACGGATTTCATCAAAGATCCGCACCTCAACTCGGTAAATTAATTTTTTACACTTTCTAAACTGGTGATTCCCAACTGTTTGTGACTCGTGTCCCCCCCCTCTGGGGTTTAAAGAAATAATGGGCCCCTGCACTTAGTCTTGTGGCCCCTTCCTAGTGATTCCAAGTATTGAAAGACTCTGCTGTTGAAAACAAGTCAGATATTGGAATCTGTTTGAATTAGTTATTCAGCATTATAATCCTTGATTTAACATGGTTTTTATTATTGTGCAACAAAATTTGACTTTCTGCCAGTTGTACACACACTGACATATAACAAACTTGGAGACCAAAATCACCAAATTGCGCAACAAAATGACCAACAAAAGCTGTTTTTTCACTCCATATTCACACGACTGACAAATAACAAAATTACATACGCACTGATAGCCTAAGCAAACAATTTCCAGAATTTTACTCAGTTATTGAACGAGCCTTGCATTATTTTTAACAGGTATACAAAGGTCAAATTGCGGAGAAACGATTAGTGAAGTATGATTATCAAGAATCGCCAAGTCATCATCAAAATATGCCCAATCATGAAAGCTCAATGAAGCGTAACGAACCCCAATTCAAACTCATGCCGAGAAGTTCAAACGGAGCTCAAAGTTCATCGCCATGGGAACTTGCGACAACATCAACAACTAGCACAGTGGCGACATCAAGTGGTAGCAGTTCTCCATGGGAAATGTCATCTAACCCACCAGCTCGGAATGATTATGACGCAGACGATTACAGTGCGGCTTCTGCGTATGGCGCTTATCCCGTATCATACAGAAAAAGCAATCAACGACAGCGCTCGAATTTGCCAAAAAAATCCCCCCTCCCCAATGATAAAAAATCTTCGTATACCAAAACTAAAATGTCAAGTTCATATAACGCTGCTACTGCAGTAAGAAAGCAGTCACAAAAAGGAACAGGCGAGAATAAAGACGTTTATATATCGGATATGTATAAACAGCTAGATGGCGACAAAGAAGATATTCGTTCCACCCCTAGTTCGGGTCGGAGCTCACAGAAATCAACGCCAGCGCATGAAAAGGGTTCATCAGCGGAAAAGTCGTCACTATTAGATGAGGGCGATAGTGAGGATGATTTGGTGTTGACGGTTGAAATCGGGGGGGAGAGGGCTCCGAAAGTTGGCATGGGGAAATCCCCTAAACATGGCATTGGGGAAGAGAGGGGTTTACTCAATGATTCTGATCCAGAACCAGATGTGAGAGAATTAGATTACGAAGAAGAAGAAAAAAGCAAAGTGAGAGAATCTGATGAGGAAAATATGAGAGAACCAGATGTGAGAGAATCAGTGGAGCATGAAGAAATTGACCTTTTGAATCTCGATGAAAACACTCAAGTTTTAAGTTCAACGGAAAACTCCCCCCTACATCAGATTATGATGCAACAATCAATTCTGTCATCTGCCCTCCTCCCTGATCTACCACCCCCTAGTGACCAACAATATGATGGGGAATTACTCCTTGTAGGTGAAGCCCCGCCCCCACCCGATATGTTTGGTGGTGCTCCTACCTCAAATCTTGGTGTACAGTATGATGTTACAATTCCCACCCAATCAATTCTTCAAAACCCTTTGTCTGATCCCAAGGAACTAAACTCTGTGATGTCACAATCATTTCCAATGATCTCACAATCAACAACAGTGATGTCACAATCCTCAACAATGCCATGTACTCGTAGTTCAAATTCACTAGACGACTTGAAATCTTACGTACAAAAAGAATTTAATGAAGCTACAAGTTCAACCCCCACTTCGCCAAAAGATGCTTTAGTGACACCTAGTGTTCAAGATGACCTTTTCTTGTCCAGTGGATCGAGTGTTCCTGATGAACTCTCTGGTGCAACTAGTGGTACAGTTGACATTCCTGCAGGAATCCTACAAGTTGAAAGTTCAGGGAATTCTGAAATTCAGCTTTCAGTTCCTGATGAGGAATCTGAAAGTGAGGAAATTGCTGAAAAGGATGAACCACTGAATGAAGAACCGGGCAGTACTGGAAAGAATGAAATGGATGAGATTAGTGAAAAGGAAGGACAAGACTCCGATGAAAACGAGAATCAAGTAACTTTTGAAATGCATGAAAATGTGGAATTGATGAATAAACCAGAAAATTTTACTGAAAAGGAAGAAACTGGGAATAGCGCGGAAACATTCGAAGCCCATGGACAGTCTCTTGATTGTGAAGTCACAATAACAACTGCACAACAAGAAAATCTTCGTTCATCGAGTGCAGATGAGTTGCTACATGAACCACTGGAGGTGCTAGAGTTACAGGAGGAACCACGGGGTGGGGGTGCAAGCAATCGCCGACGAAGAAATAGCTTCGATCAGGCAAGAGAATTTGGTAACGTCATGGATGTCTAATCAATTACTGTTTAATCGTCAGGGGTCATTAGACACGCATCACTGAGTTTAATTCTGCATTCAACTTCGTTTCTCACGTCATATAAACACTGCCCTTCATTCTAGAGTTGTGATTTCCGAGGAAATTGATCGCAACGGAGTCGCTCGTAAATAACGGAGACTCATCTAAGGGGAGTTAAAAGTGAGCACAGTAGCACCAATAGCTTCTGAAACAATATAGGATTATGATAGTGCACTCGCTCAAAAGTAAATAAACCTATCTCTGATTGAAGTAACAGGCAGCCATGTTAGGGTTTTAGTTAACTCTTTAGAACCTGCCTTAGCTTTCTCGTTCATTTGCTCTTTTTTTGTTCAATCAACTAGCTCCGGTTCTTTTTCAATTTTACGTGCATTCCTGAATGTTGCAGGAGTCACCCACCTTCTTAAAATTTTCAAGTCCCTCACCCCCAATTTTGAATTGTAAAACCACACTCCAATTCCTATGAAATGTAATTTATCTAAATAGTGGCGCATTTACCAGTGCAAATAGTCAGTAAAATACATAACACGTACTTATGTGCCCAGGTTTTGTTTTAATTTTTGGTTTAGTTTTGTCAATCCAAGTTGTTATATGAAGCCAAATGAGTGATCTTTCATTCCCTTTCTGCAAATTTGAATCTGATCGTTAGGCCCATTTTAGCATTAAGGGGGGTTGTTATTTCTTTGCAATGTAGAGAAATTGGAACCACCTGCTAAAAGCATAATCATGTTATTTATTATATTGTTTTGATGTGTGCAATTTGTAGAAAAGAGTGCATGGAAACGCCATACAACTATATAATACAGAGGGAATTTCCCCACCCCAACAGCAATTCTCATAAGGCAATTGATTTATTGTTTCACATGTGCCGATTGATACCAGTTTGCATCTTGATTGTTTTTTGTTTATATTGCATTTCGTATCTAACGTTGCACAGACCAATGTCCAGTATTACTTGAATAAACCAATGTACCTAAGCTGTCACCTACCGGTAATTGTTCTGATAGGAAGGGGTTAATGCCAGTGATGGGATTTGGGAAAAGCGCGCTTGGAATGTCGCAGTCTATGACACCCTTTTCACTCGGATAGCTACGGTATAATAGGATAGAATTTATTCATTAAATATTTATGTTTCGGGGGGAGAAGCCGATAAGACGGCCTAAACATATAGCAGACTACAGAGAGAGTCCGGTTATCAGTCTATGTTGGGTATCGGTTTAGTTAGCCAGTTATTCGTTTCATATTTATGGACTTGGTGGTGGAGGAAGCCGTAGCCAACCAGCGGTTACGTGGAGTCCAGCAATACCCTCGCAAATAATTATATCAACAAGATGCAAACCTGCGGTAATCAGAGATATGTTGGCAAGAGTATTGATAACGCTTAACACGGTGCGCCACACCGCTTTAGCCGCCGACTAGCATAATATTTCAATCAATCAATTTTATTTGGTCACTCTGATAGAAACAAAACAACAACAAACAAAATACAGAGGACCTGTAGGACGGGCATAACTTAATGAAAAAAGTTAAAAACGTACAAGTACGTGCCCGTCCACAAAAAGCAGTCAAAACACAATAAAACAAAACACGATATAAAATCGGGCAATAATTTTAAATTAAATTTAAAATGTGAGACATGTATGTGAAACACAACAGTGCTTTTCCTACAAAACTATGGAATAAAAAACCCATTGCTGATGTAAAATTCTATAGTCCGAGTTCGATTCATGTAAAGCGTGTCATGTGAACATCGCTCACGTATTGACATGCATTTTCTGAAATTAGGGAACCTGTTGTTAGCGTGTTTGATACAAAAAAGAACCCATTCTCAAAAGTTTGAATCCGTGTGTAGCAAGGTGAAATTATATAACTTATCACATTTGACATTGTCCATTGGGGCAAAGGAGTTTGACATTTTTTCGTACGGGTGGTAAGTCAGATTGAAAATTTCCAATTTTTCTCGGGAACTTGAAAAAAATAGAATTCACCGACAGAATTTTTTGATACTTCGTCAAAAAAGGGTTTTATTTGACAGCGTTTGGCTCATTGCAATTCACGTCATATGATGAAGTTTATCGATATTACTCCCGCATCGGAATAAAGAGGAAAATTCTAAAAAATGACGCAAGCGGTGCTAATATATTGCGCCAAACTCTAACGTATAATTTATTGTAATGTGTGTAATTCTAGTGCGCATTTTCAGCAGGGTAAAAATAAATTACTGTTTATTCGCAGAAGCAGTCACCTAATTTAATTGCATTTTCGTATATTTTTTCAATTTAATAAAAAAAAGAAAGAGAGATATTTAATATTTTGTCAATCAAAAGTTCAAAACACATACACACAAAAAATGGTAACAGAAATAAAATTGCTTTGGTATGGACAGGAGGGAGCGATACGATCGAGGTCAACTCCCACCCTATTTGTAGATGTGATTGAGGTTCACGAGGTATTATCTATTTATTTAGTTGACTGAGCAAAATTATAAAAATTAGAAACAATTCGGCAACAAAAGTTACAGAATTACATTTATGGATACGATAATTGATAAACGATTTAGTGACGACATATTATGCAAATAAGCTCTAGTATTTACGCAATTTCATCAGGGCGTTTGTGTTTCATGAATCTTTTGCGTTTTATAACAATATATTTATTCTATGGGAGAAGAAATTCGATGAGACGGTTTACCAGTAAATCAATTACACAACCAAGTATTGGTATAAGTCTGTAGGACAGGTGTGGAAATACCGGTACCGTGACTAACCTGGCAGCCTGTCCTAGTAAAATTTCGCATGCTTTAGCCTGAACCTCGGAACTTTAAAAGTGTTTTTCTATCAATTCCGCATTTCAATCAATCATATTATTTCGGTTCTCTGACATAAACAACACGAAATGTAAACAGACAAACAATATGCAGAGATACCTGTATGGTACCGGTACCGTACCGTACCTGATAGGCGAGCAGGCTATAATTTCAACAGAGATCTTTCCAGTCTGTTTGTGTTAACTTACAGAAACTTCAGAAAATCAGACAAGAATAAAACTATGCCATTCTCATTGCATGAGAATACTAAAATAGAAGTTTTATTTAAAGCTTTCATTAGAATGGTGACAGAAATTCAGTAGTCTATTATTATCTTTTAATAAAACTATTATATCAGTATATCTGAAGAACTTAACTAACAATACAGTACGGCACAGTTTTCGCATCCAAGGAATATCCTAATTTTGAAGACATCAATTATGGCGATGAAACAAATCCCTACTTTATGAGACAGTCTGGCACTGCCCATCAATATTGCTTTAAAAACGTCACAATTGGATTATCAGAGAAAAACTAATCTAATTTATCGCAGCGTTTGAGTGTTTTTAGCAAAAAACAGCACGTTGGACAAGTTTTAATCATATGACATATGACGCTCTCGCCATGATTGCTTTATTTCGATGAACGAGACCATATATTGTGCATCTACAGTCATGCCAGAAGTCCTTCGTTTCTGGGACAAATAAATTCTTTGTTCTATAGGTGTCTGAATGTTGAATAACTATTGTTTACTAATATAGGTCAGTCCACATAATATAATCCATATATTTGCATATTGTATTTCTAGCTGTTTAGCCAATGATAATATTTTATTGTCAAATGGTTTAACGCACCCTTGATTCTAGGACAATTATTTTGTTCAGAAAAGTTTGCGAGTGCTTATAATCTTATGAAACTTTTTCTGTTTGTTGTGTAGCATTACTACGATGGCTTATGATTAATTTTCTGTGTACAATTCTGCTTCAAGCCAACAATGGCTGCCAAAAAAATGAAGCAATATTTTCCGATATTGTTTGCGATATTTCTACTCATCGGAGTTTCCGGATTATTCTTTGGTTTCCCTGGACGTTATCTCGCTGTGGAAATTTCTCCGATTCTAATGGGATATGCAGGAGCTGTGTATATATTTGTACTTGTTAATTTTATCGCAGCTGGGGCCACGGATCCCGGGGTTTATCCGAAGCGGTCTGAACCCGAAGATGATGAAGATGAGCTCAGAGCACCAGTGTATATTACTGTTCTTATCCATGACATATCTGTTCGCATGAAATGGTGTAGTACTTGTAAATTTTACCGTCCGCCTCGTGTCTCGCATTGCAGTGTTTGCAACAACTGTATAGAAAAGTTTGATCATCATTGTCCGTGGGTGAACAACTGCGTTGGAAGGAGGAATTATCAATATTTTTTCTTGTTCTTGATGCTGCTTACTTTGCATATGATCAATATTTTCTCATTTACTCTCTGGGCCGTCATTTTAAACCAAAATGGACAAAGCGATGGAATTATTTTTGGAATTTCCATCGCGGTTTTGGTCGTAGATGGTTTGATTTTTATCCCCATCTCAGGACTTTTTGGATTCCATATTTCTCTCGTTATTCGAGGCCGAACAACCAATGAACAAGTCACAGGGAAGTTTAGAAGTGGAGTTAATCCATTTGACAATGGTTGCAAAGCAAATTGTTTTCACGCGATGTGTTCCCCACAGATACCAAAATACATTAATCGATCCGACGCCGTGGATTATACAAAGTATAACATTTCTCCCCCTTACACTGTTGACAACGATAACTTAAGCATTCGGAATGTTAGGATCCGAGAAAATGGTTCAAATGCTATTTCTGCGTACACCCCTCGTCCGATTGACAATGAAAAAGAAATTTTCCCGAAGCGTAAAGGTTCACTTATACCTCAAGGAAGCTCAGATGAAAGCGATACAACTTCCGAACCCCCACAAGTGAGGGTGATCACTGGGAATGGGAGAACGGAATCTGTGCGCTCAGAATTGGATCCGAATAGATTTCGTGCTCGAGTGACCCCCGTTCATGCAAATCAAACTTGCCAGCCGACTGACGCGATACAGTACGCATGCATAGACGGCCAGCTTAACAATGATGATACTTCGGACAGTAGCGGACAAAATTTTGAAATGACGAATATGAAGGGGGGTAACAGAACAGAATTGAATGGCAGTGCCACCACATCATTGGTGACCAATGGTGACGCTCATCATTATCATAACGACAATAATGTAAACCAAAATACGGAGGGTGAGTCAGCAGAAAATAATGACTGTGACACAGCGGAATCTCCTGATCAAACTTTTTATAAAACTGACGAAATTTTGTACGATAACTTTGTAATGCCAAAGCGTAAAAGTTCGAAAGTTTCAGAGAACCGAGATGACGAGATACACGATGAATCGTCAAGTTCGAGTGAGGGAAACTCATGCGCTTACATAACTCACGATACTCCACCCGGTGGCAGGCTGAATGATCCTTTAGCTAATGTAAACAATTGCAATAATATTCCTGCGAGCGATCATATCACAAAATCAGTGGACCATGACGTTTGCGAATCTGGGTATGTGAGTACATTTAACTCGACCGACCAGCCGTTATCTACGAAGGATCTGACGAACAAAATCGAACTGGAAAATGCAATGAGAGATATAGAAGCGAACGTCGCATTGCTTCATGTTACAGAT